GTCTGTGTTTGCAGCTTAGGGATGAAACACAGACAGCCAGTTTCACATTTAGCTTCCCTACATGTCTTCCTTACATCCTCTTAACTTTTTATAATACACATATGCGCTTCACAATCTATTTCATTTCCTCTTTTCGTGGTCTCACCACGATCCATTCATTCATTATATTATCACAGTTAAAAGATTACACTTGGGAGGCTACCAGTGAGGTGGAGAGACCCCACGGTACGCCTGTACGGTACCACGTGGACTCAGAGCACAACAACGAGTTGAATGGAGAAATTGCCAGTGCTGCATCAATGGCGTGACAACGAATGTCGATGATATATAACTGCTCAAGTATTCAAGTAAGTATTATTGCAGGTTCAGTCAAAAAGTGTCATCGAACAAGCAGCAAAATGTCGTATATGCTACCGCATCTCAGCAATGGCTGGCAAGTGGACCAGGCAATTTTGGCCGAGGAGGATCGTGTGGTGCTGATTCGCTTCGGCCATGACTGGGATCCAAGCTGCATGCGCATGGATGAGGTATATTTTTTTTATACTTTTGTTATGGATAAAAATAATCTCGAGCTTCATCTGTTAATATTCTTTTCGTTATCTCCACCATCTTTTTCCTGCTGTGTTAGGTTGCAGCCTCTAGGTCAGTCCTGGAGGGCAGATGATGGGGTGCACAAGTAAGGGAGGGTAGTGTAGATCGGGAGTAAGAGTGAGGTAAGACGTTTCGACCCATTGAGTCATATACGTCTTAACTCCACACTGCGACTGGACTTCGCCAATATGACGGTCGCATTGCCTAAGGAAGAAGAAAAAAAGAAGGAAAAAGAGATGGAAGACAGGAAGTGAGTAAGGAAAGACCATTTAAGAAGATAGAGGTAAGGCAAGAGGGAAAGTAATAAAGATGGGAAGGGAGGAGAGAAGAGGCGGGGGGGAGGGGGAAGGGAAACTAAAGACAGAAGTCAAGAAGTAGGAAGGTAAAAAATAAAAAATAAAAGGTAAAGATTTTTTAATAGTAAAAGGTAAAAAATAAAAAATTTTTAAAAGGGTTTTTTTTATAATTTTTAAAAGGGTAATTTTTTTATAATTTTTAAAAGGGTTTTTATAATTTTTTTAAAGGGTAATTTTAAAATTTTTTAAAAGTTTAAGAGAGGTAGTAGCAAACCTCAATGGTGGAGGTTTTGCCATTGACATCCTTATTTCTTTTTAACCAATTCAACTGTGGTTTAATTACGGGCAAAAACTTATTGCTTCTCGCCTTTTCATGCGTTTTGTGTTGTGCAAGAGCTGCAAAAGATGTGTGTTGTTAAGCCCCTGTTTCTGTTTGTGTGTGTGTGTGTGTGTGTGTGTGTGTGTGTGCATATGTGTGTGTGCGCGCATCGTCTGTATACCCAAGTGCATTTTGTCCACACTTTTCAATTTAAGAACCACAGAACTGGGAAGTTGAAATTTTACGTGAGCCTCCCCTGCTGCCGTGTGTGACCGGCCCCGCAAGTTTAGTTTCATCCTTTGCGAACCCCTGGACTTCATGTACGATCACATGAAAGTTTCTGCGCCAGAATTAATGGCTTGGGAACTAAAAAAGCTAGGAAACCGAAACTTTAAGGTAATATTGCAAGCCCTTGCCCGATTTCAAAAAAATTAAATTCAGCCCCCCATTGCGCTTGAGCTTAACCATCATGTACGGGCACAAGAGAGTTTTGGCGCGAAATTTTCCCTGCCATAAACCGGCAACGTAGAAAGCTAAAAATTTGCTATGATAATTTACAATAGCAGAATAGAAGGATTGGTCTTAAGTGTCATGTACCGAAGGTTATTTTACGATGTAGTCTGTGTTTCATCCCTTAACTGTAAACGTAGACCGAGCAGTGCATGCGGGTAGGAGTGGGAATCATCAATATAACCCTGGAACTGCAAACCCAGCTTTCAGGCCCGCTTATTTTTCAGGTATGGACAAGTTAAATCTTATGTAGGTAGTTCTTAGTTCGACAAATAGACAGAACATAAAGCTAAAATTGTTGAAACAGTAAATTCAAATTCAGCTATCACGAACGCTTGCGTTACATTCACGAGCAAATGGAATTTCTTATTTTTTACGCACACCAAATTGTAAGGTAATGAAAATTCTTAACAGCAATCGCCCGCCGGGCAGAACTGCACAAAACGTATGATCGCACCGGTTCCCCTGGTCCGTGCTTCCATTTATTTAGGATTCTTTTTGTGTAATTTATGCATATTTTAATGATATGAAGTAAGGTGGAATTCCTAGTCAGTGAATTATCTTCTGTCCTAAGAAGAGACTCTTAATTGGTGATAATACCTTGCCCGTTCTGCCCTTCGTTTGGGAGAACTACTGAACCAGTAAACCCTCCAGAAGACGAAATGAACGTCAGGATCATCAGCAGACTGATCATCATCAGATGCAGCAAATGTAAAAGTATTTGAAACAGCATAGCTGGAGAACCAGACTGTAAATTATGAATTATCCAAATTTTGATTAAAGTGTGGGGTTGAATGTTTGTCGAAATAGGATTTATGCCCGTTCTGCCAATATTTAGAGCTCAATAATAAAACACAGATAGTCTACCAAGTCACTGCACATACAGGCTTGCTTATTTAGGAGATCTAAGTGGCACTTCCGGTACTGACGATTCGCACTCCTACCCGCATGCATTGTTCGGTCTGTGTATACAGCTAAGGAATGAAACACAGACTGCATCGTGAAATGTCTTCTTATACATGACACCTAATTCCAATCTTCTTACTCCAGTTTTCATCAATTATCAAGATTCGATTGTGTCCCTCTGCACGGTGGGCCAAATAACGCCAAACAAACTGCATATGTTAACACATAGAAGACTTCAGGCCCTCGTCTTCTTCCAGTCTCCTAGCCAGGCATATTCACTGTTTGTATCTTTAAAATTTCCACAACTCTTAGTGCTTTACTTGCATTTTTTCAGTGGGAGCATCTGGTATTTGAGCTGAACTGCTCCCGTATTTTGTCACTTTTTTCCCGAGATTTTGTCCTTCAGTAGGGAAAAACATTTTGCTTTTTGTATGAGTTAGTTTTACCTATTTTTTTGAAAAGTTGGTATTATTGCCTTTCAAAAATGTTGGGTTCCTCTCCAGCAACTTGCACATTTGGCCACGCGTCTGCGGAGGTAGGAGTAATGCGGAAATAAAAATGGTAACTAGATTTATTAGTTCCCAAGCATTCCAGTTGAAATTTTGGCATTCAGCGACTTTAAATGGAGCCTTTGTTTACGAATTTCGCGTGAAAGGCTGGGTAAAATATTGTGCTGGAATAGGATAAAAAAGGAGAACAAGGGTACTAGTCAGGAGTTCGAGGCAACAATAGGAAATAGTGGTTGGGGGTGGTGGTTGATTGGTACCCAAATACAGCTCTGAAGGCAGGAACTGAAGGCATTTTCATGCCGAGAATGAGGGAAATTAAGATGACTGCTGATGAATCACTAAAAGATTAATGGATTTACTAAAATTAATGAAAAACGACCAGTTAGCGACTGCCGATGCCAGTTTCGTGAAAGTGTACCTGCAGTTGTCCTCACTTGCATTTAGTCCCTCAGCATGGTTTTGGATCTTCATAATCTTCTTCCTTGCAAACGTAAATTTTACTACATCTTTAAAAAAATATTGTTAAATTCAAGAAATTAATTGCAGACATTGTACAAAATAGCGAATAAAGTGAAAAATTTTGCTGTGATTTATTTGGTAGACACAACGGAAGTGCCCGATTTCAACAAAATGTACGAACTGTACGACCCATGTACCGTGATGTTCTTCTTCCGCAACAAACATATTATGGTCGATTTGGGTAAGCTTTTTGTCCTAATTGTATTGGCACCTTTAATGATTTACAACAAAACAACATGGGCATTTTAATTTTAATTTTATTTGGTATATGTTTATGAAAGATTGTAAGGAAATAAAAATGGAAAATGTGAATAAGATTAAAAGTCTTGTAACAGATACTGGCGACAACAGTAGTATTTACCCATGCAATCAGTACCTGCGAAAATTTGGTTAAAATTGAAGATGTGTGCTAGTTTTGGTGACAGTTTTATTCATCTATGTTGTTGTGTTTGGATATGGTTGCATACATAGAAATATGAAAAAAGCTGTAACTGCTTTATATAGTGAGCCTCTAAGGACTAGAGAATATG